AAACACAACCTCCTGTTGCTTGAAGCTTTTCTGCTTCCTTCAGCTCCATTCTTGAGCTGTGCTTACATTTGAGTCTGGTATTAATTCCTTTGTGATTTCCAGGACAAATCCCATAGGAATGAAAGGACACATGGCCAAGTGCTATGGGGATTTGGTGCAGGAGCTGTGGAGTGGCACCCAGAAGAACATAGCCCCCTTAAAGCTGAGGGTGAGTTATTCTGGGGTGGAAAACAAGGATTGCATGGAAAAGCAGAAATTCAGTGCACTTTTTCCTGTACTGTAGCAGTTTGGACACTCAGAGTTTTCCCTGGAAGGAGCCAGTGTTCATCAAACCTGGTGGAATTAGTGGTTATAAAGGAGTTATGTGGTATGACACAAGTTGTGCCATAACAAGTGGCTTTTATAGCCCTTTTTAACTACAAAAAAAGGTTCATTTTTACCTGTAAATGAGCTTTTGTTCTGAAAGCAAAGGGGCTCCCTTCAGCTCTTGCCAATTGAATTTGTGTTCATTGACATATCTCATCTACAATATATTGATTTATTTTTACTTTTTTTACATGATATTAAATAAATTTCTGCTTGTTTTTTTTTTTTATAGTGGACAATAGCAAAATATGCTCCAAGGTTTAATGGCTTTCAACAGCAAGACTCCCAGGAGCTTCTGGCTTTTCTCCTGGATGGGCTCCATGAGGACTTGAACAGAGTTCATGATAAGCCATATGTGGAGCTGAAGGACAGCGATGGGCGGCCAGACTGGGAGGTGGCAGCAGAGGTGGGGCCTCAATCTTTGCCTTTGGGGCTTTTTGGGTGTTTTTTCTTCTCCTCACAGTACTAAGCTGAGAAATTGTCCATGAGGCTGCCTTTGGGACTCTAGCACCTTTTGGATCTTGTCAGAGCTGTGATTTACAGAGATAATTTCACTTTTGAGCTGAAAAATTAATTTCAATTGTTGTAATAAAATTATGAAGATGATACTTGACAACAGTTTTGAACAACTCAAAATTAGGGAGTATCAAAATATTTCAAGATGCCTGATGATCCCCTCAGAAATTTTAAATTGTGGCATGCCTTGATTATTGTGTTGAGAACTTTACTTGTTCTGTAACTAAATTTATTAGAAATTAGGAAATAACTTTTGTGGAAATACTTTGACTCCCATAGGCCAATGAAACTTTGGAAACCAATGAAGTGGTGTCCAGTTTCTAACTTGGTATTCTGTTTTTTTGTGCTTCATTTCAGGCCTGGGAAAACCATCTGAGAAGAAACAGATCCATTGTTGTAGATTTATTTCACGGGCAGCTGAAGTCACAAGTGAAATGTAAAACTTGTGGGCATATTAGTGTTAGGTTTGACCCTTTTAATTTTTTATCCTTGCCTTTGCCAATGGACAGCTACATGCACCTAGAAATTACAGGTGAGTGCTGTAAATGTGCCATTCCTCAGATAAAATCTGTAAAAGTGGAACAGCTATAAAACATCAAATTTTGTTTGTGTTACTACTTATTTACAATAATACAGTAATTTTAATATAAAAATGCAAGAATTTTCATTGAAACACAGCTAAAACAAGATAAAACCTTTAGAAACAGAAAAGGATGGCCCATTTTTAGTCTTGATTGAAGGACTTAATAGAAAATCTTTGTAAAATTGAAATTTTGAGAACTTCCCTCTCTTGTGGAGGTTGTCCTAAATCTGCCCAGAGGAAAAACAGGGGCTGGGGGTAAAACACAATATGGGTCATGAACTGTGCTCTGAGGGAGCTGTGGATTGCTGGAAAAGGGGCAAAAGGAAAGATGGTAAAAAAGTGAAACAAATTTTGAAACCATTTTTTACTGCCTGTGCAGCAAGAGACTTTCTGACATTGTGACATTGCCTGCAGACCTTAAAAATTGACTGAGAAAATGAAATAAATCATCTGTTCAAGTTGGGAAAAGATATTTTCCAATAAGTGGGGAGCTGTAATGTATTATTGTCATTAAAACCTGCCTGGGCTGCTGACCAGGGTGTTTCTTTTCCCCTTTGAAGTCATTAAATTAGATGGTACCACTCCTGTTCGATATGGGCTGAGACTGAACATGGATGAGAAGTACACAGGCTTGAAAAAGCAGCTGAGTGAACTCTGTGGCCTCAAACCAGAGCAGATTCTGCTTGCAGAGGTGCACAGCTCCAATATAAAGGTAAAAAGAAAAAAAGGTTAATTATTGCTGCAACATGCTCTGGGTGGTTTTTTTTTCCTTCTTTGTTATTTTTAACATTTAAGCTTTGCTTACAAGAGCTGTGAAATAATTTAACAAAAGTATGGTAAAAAAAAACAGCTTAGTTATCTCTCTAGATGAACTTTAATTCTTAAACAGTAATTTGGCTTGCTGTAAATAGATTAGAATTGATTGCTGATGATATTTTTAGGGGAAAAAATGATCTTGAGGTGATAAATCTCAAGTTAAGGTGCTGTGATGAGACAAAGACATCAGGACCATAAGTCATGACTGCCTTACAGTGTGTGGGGATATTTCCAGGGGGATTTTTTTGCTGTAGAATTAAAGTGCTTGAAATGAGGGGCTCTGGGTGTGATTAGAGAGCACTGACAGCTCCTGCAGAGGGCCTGGGCTCCTTGACTCTCCTGGGAAGGTGTGAGGAGGCAGATGGCAGGGAGGGAGGAGCTGATAAACGCAGCTCGCAGAAGAACAGAACACATTCTGGTCCCAGATGAAGGTGTCCAGGTGCCTGAGCAGCTTTCCCTCTCTCCTGAAGAACTTCCCCCAGGACAACCAGAAGGTCCGTCTGTCCGTCAGCGGCTTCCTGTGTGCGTTTGAGATCCCCATCCCAGGCTCCCCCACCTCAGCATCCAGCCCTGTGCAGACAGGTGAGCCCAAACTCTGCTTTTGCTCTCCTTGGAGTGCCCTCTGTGGAGAAGCTCAGCACCAAAGTTTCTCATTAAGCGAGGATTACAGCAAGGGACGTGCGGGTTGTGCTCGGTGTCCACGCGGGATGGGAGGGGTAAAACCCTGCTCAGCTGTGGCTGCTGTGATAATTGATAATTGATAATTGATAATTGATAATTGATTTGTCTGCCTGCAGAGACCTCCACTGGGCCCTCGGCCAACGGAGCCCCCACCATCCTGATGAACGGGGACATCCCCAAGCCAAGCCTGATTCCCAACGGGATGCCAAACACTGTGGTGCCATGTGGGACAGAGCGCAGCTGGACCCTCAATGGCCACGTGCCCTCGCTGTGTGACAGCCCCTGCACAGGCTACATCATTGCAGTGCACAGGAAAATGGTCAGTGCCCCTGCACACTTGGCAAGACATTTGAAAAAAGCAGATTTTTTTTTCATGTCCGCACAACAATTACACACATTTATGTGTGATGTGATCAGATAACCTCATCATCGTGTCATAAAATAGAAATGTTTTTCAATACAGTATTTAATATTGGAATTAAGAGTACTTTTAATACATTTGTTGATTAATTTTAATAGCCGAGGTCTGAAATAAGTCATAAGGCCAGCAATCCAGGTGATTATTGCAGTGTCAGTTAATGTACTTCACACCTGACTCCTCCTTTTGCTCCCACAGATGAGGACAGAGCTGTATTTTCTCTCATCTCAGAAGAACAGGCCCAGTCTCTTTGGGATGCCCCTGATTGTTCCCTGCACAGTTCACACCCGGAAAAGGGACCTCTATGATGCTGTGTGGATCCAGGTTTCCAGGCTGGCCAGCCCCCTCCCTCCTCAGGAAGCCAGTAACCATGCACAGGACTGGTGAGTTGGGCACCTCAGCCTTGCAGCTGAGTTACACTGCTGTGCCTCACACTTGCTTGCAAGATTGAAAATTGTGTTCGTTTGGTTTCTCACAATAATGGCAGTAATTAAAATTAAATTCTTTTTAGTACAGTTAAATGTAGCTGCACTTAAAAGTTGGCTGTGTTCTTATCCAGTGATTGATAAATATTTATATCTGATGAATTTAAGCCATGGAAAGGCAGCTTTTAATAGTAAATTGTAACCAAAATTATCATTTTGAGGGTTTTCTTTAAGTAATCATAACAAGGCCAGTGAAGGGAGGTAATTGCAGTGAGTGCTGCTGTTTGATGTTGTGTTCTCCTCTGTTGCAGTGATGACAGCATGGGGTATCAGTACCCCTTCACCCTCAGGGTAGTTCAGAAGGATGGAAATTCTTGTGCTTGGTGTCCATGGTACAGGTAAATTGTCCTTTTTTCCATTTACAGCAGGGAATCACTCCAGCAGAAAGGTAATTTATGGTAATGGGGCTGTGGTACATTTCAGACTTCAGAGGTAATATCAAACAATAAGAATCTGGAATGTAATTTCACCAGAGCTCTCTCCAGGCAGGCTTGCTCTGCAGCACAGCTTTTATGACTTGCAGAGCTGAAAGTTCTGCTGCCACAGAAACTTTAAATTAGGAGACAGAAATGAGTTTATCCAGAACCTGTTAACCTCTTACAATATTCTGTGTCTGTGTGCAGCCTTGGATGTCCACAGACCTGCGTGGTTTGGGGAAATTCACACAAACCCACATTTTTAGATGTAATTCATCTGCCCCTGTGGGTTCCTTGCCATTTGAAGGGTGAGATCTAAAATGGGCAATGGGAAACTCACCCTGGAAGGATGCTTGGAATTTCCCATAAACAAAGACTTGCTAATGAAAATTTCAGACCTTTGCTGGAAGGTATTCATGGCACAAATTAATTTTTTAAAAAGTGTTTTATAGCTCTTACAATTAGTTCTCATGGTGAAAACGAGCTGTGGAGACAGAGCAGTGGAGTTTTTGGGGGTGTAGCTGGGTTTGGTCAGCACTGGATCATAATGGAATGGACCTTAAAGATCATCCCATGCCAACCCCTGCATGGGCAGGGACACCTTGCAGGGGATCATGTGCAGATGGTGGAGCTCACCCAGCTGCTTCCCTTTCTCACTCTGGTCAAGTTTTGCATTAAAAACACAAATAACCCTGAGCATTGCTGCATAAAAACGTCTCACACTGAAGGCGAAGCCTGGAGCTTGGAGGGTGCAGAGGAGCCAAAACAGGAGCAGAACTGAAATGTAGAAATGATTGGAGCCTGCACTGACCACAGCCAATTTGTGCCCCAGGTTCTGCCGTGGCTGCAGGATTGAGTGCTCAGAGGACAGGGCCTGTGTGGGCAATGCCTACATTGCTGTGGACTGGGACCCCACCGCGCTGCACCTGCGCTACCAGACCTCGCAGGAACGGGTAAATGCCAGCAGGAGCCTTTGTTCTCTGCCAGCACCTCTGAACACCACCCTCTGCAGCCCTTTGGGCTCTGTGGTGCTGCTTTTGTCCCTTCCTGTCAAACCAAAGGCAGCAATGGTGGGACAATATATTCAGGATAAATCGATGGCTTGGTGTTAGGCCTCTTATGTGCTCTAATGGTGTGGAAGGGAAGCTTTTAAAGAACCACAGCAGTGCATTTGCTGTCTGTTGTGAATTGCTTTTAAGCTAGTCAAGATATATAATAATATATTACATAATACATTACAAAGTATCTTAATTTGATAAATTTTCTGTAACTATAAACAGTTATGCATGTGAGTAAACCTATTTCCTCATTAAGCCAACAAAACTCATCTGAAGGTGAGCCTGTAGCTGGGTGAATCTGGAATAACTGTTCCAATTTGTGAGTGTGCTTTATGGATAATTTATAAGCAGAGCCCAAGTATAAGAACAGTGAATTATTTTTATCTGCCTCTTCATAGCTGAAATGAAATTCCTGCTAAAACTTAACCACATCTCATTTTCATCTTTAATTCTGAACAACCCAGTGAAGTTATTTGTGATACTGTGAGGAGAGCCCACCTCTGAGCAGCGTGTGCTACATTTCCAAGTCAGAGAGAGTTTTCTGTCCTTTCAGATTGTGGAAGAACATGAAAGTGTTGAGCAAAGCCGGCGAGCCCAGGCAGAGCCCATCAACCTGGACAGCTGCCTGAGAGCCTTCACCAGCGAGGAGGAGCTGGGCGAGGATGAGATGTACTACTGCTCCAAGTGCAAGACCCACTGTCTGGCCACCAAGAAACTGGATCTCTGGAGACTTCCCCCTATTTTGGTAGGATCTTGTGTCATTTTCCTCCTCAGCAGCAAACCCAAAGCACGTTGTCCCCAAATCTGCCAAGTCGCCTCGCTGTGAATAAGATGGTTTGCTTTGTTCACACTCTGAGGTGGGGCACTGACTGAGTTTGCAGGCAAATAAAGCAAACCTCAAATCCTTCAGAATGTTTTTAGCTGCTGCCTTGCAGGAAATGGTGGTGGTTTGTGTTCAGTGTCAGCTGCTCTGACACAGCTCATGCTCAGATGGTGACAAGATCTCCTCTCTGGTTGTGGGACACCTGCAGTTCTTATTTTTCACATTTGCTAGTTTATTCAAAACAGAGAGTGCTGATCACTGAATTGAAGCAACCTTTGCCATCATTTCCACATGAAAATATTAGTTTCATATTTTACCAGCTCGATCCCAAAATCCACACTGTCACACAGAGCATGATTTTTACTAGCTTAGATAAAATGTATATGTTTTGGGAAAAACTCTCTTTGAACAATAAAATTACTCACTGGGATGTCATTGCCTCCCTTTAATAATTTTCTCTACCATGTTTCCCCTTAGATCATCCACCTGAAAAGATTCCAGTTCGTTAACGGCCGCTGGATAAAATCCCAGAAAATTGTTAAATTTCCCAGAGAAAACTTTGACCCAAGTGCCTTTTTGGTACAAAGGGATCCGAGTCATTTCCAAAGGAAGCAGCTCACCCTGCAGGTTGAGAGCCTTCCTGAAGCACGGCCTGGCCAGGGGGACAGCAGGAAAGCAGATGTGCAGAGCAGTGGCACAGCAGGAGAAGGGGACACACTGAACAGGAGTCCATCCTCCCTGAACACTTCTGTCCTCAATAACGTCAAAGGTAGGGAATGACTGGGGAAAATTCCACTCTGTGCTGGTGTTTGGAAGGGAAAAATGTTATGTTCAAATTTTTAATGTTTGGGGTTTTTTTTTTGCCAAAGCACTACGCTTGGAAATGTTCCTTAGTGAAGCTTTAGCATAAAAAATGAAAGAAAATTTAAGAAGTTGCTCAGTGACAGCAGATATTGGTACTTGTGTAAGTGGGCTGGAATTAGTGAGGCATGTGCTTCTGCATAAAATAATATAATTTCAGTTTTTAGGTGTGCACAAAGATGGGGTTTTATTTCTATATATTACTCATGAGCTGCAGGGAAATAGTGGGCTTAAATGTTTGGTTATTCAAAAAAATCACTTCAAAAAGAAATCTAAACTGTGTTTGTACTCATCTTAGTCATCTGCTGTGCTTTCTGTCCCAGCATCTCCATCCTTGGGGAGGAAAAGTGGAACCAGCTGCCCCTCAAGCAAAAACAGCAGCCCCAACAGCAGCCCAAGGACTTTGGGGAGAGGCAAAGGGCGCCTGCGGCTGCCCCAGCTGGGGAAAAACAAACTGTCCAGCAGCAAGGAAAACCTGGCTGCCAGCAGGGAGAACGGTGCTGAGCACGAGCAGGGGGATGGCCTGACTAAAGGACAGGCCCTGGGGGGCAGCCAGAGCGAGCTGTACCCCGGGCAGGACAGCGAGGGGGCTCTGGCCAACGGGTACCTGTGGGAGCAGAGCTCGCTCAGCAACGGGCAGGGCGAGAACCACAGCGAGGACGACACCGCCGACGACCAAAGAGACAGAGACGACGTCTGGGTCAACCCCATCTACAACCTATATGCAATCTCGGTAGGTGCTGCTCCTCCTTGGCACGCTGCTCTGAGCAAATGCCCTCCTTGGGTTTGTGCCAGCACAGGCATCTGTAGGGAAGGAGGGCAAAAGTCAGCGCCGTAAAGTCGCTGTAAAACTGGGGGTGAGTTATGTGCCTGCTAATTTGCATGTGTGTCAAAAGTTAGTCAGCTCCAGCTGATGTCATGATGGCTCATTCACAGATAATGAACTTGGGAATCATTTATTGGATGTTTGATCCAGGGTTTCTTTTCTTCTTCCTTTTCCTCAGTGCCATTCAGGAATTATGGGAGGGGGTCATTATGTCACTTATGCCAAAAACCCGAACAACAAGTGGTACTGCTACAATGACAGCAGCTGCAAGGTAAAGCACTTCTTTTCCTCTTTATTTCACATCATTATTCTCATTATTTCAAATAATTTTTGCCTTCATTAACCAGAGCTGAATAAATTTAGAATCGGAAATTCTAGCTAAAGAAATTATAGAATCACAGAATGGTTTGGATTGGAAGGAACCTTAAAGTTCATCCCATTCCACTCCTCTGCTATGGGCAAGGACACCTTCCACTAACTCAAACATTTGTGGAGAGCTGCTGTTTGAAATCAGGAGCATCTCCAAAGCTGCATCAGATAAATATTAAAATTATTAGCTGAAATTGTACGTGAGGTTTTTTCCCAAGGTAACATCTGTTCATCAGCTGCTCCCACAGTTAAGGGAAGATGCTTGTTTTGTACAAAGATGTAAAAATTACTAAGAATGGAAAGCCAGGAATACATTTCCATGATGGCAGCAGTTTGTATTCAATTGGTGAATAACTCAGCTCTGACACTTCTAAGTATTTGCATTCATCACCATAAAATTGTCAGAGTTCCCAAGTAATTCATGGAGCGAGATAACAAAGAGGGGAGACAGAACAGGGGATTCCTTCTGTTGCCCCCAGTTAAAAGCACCCTTTTCGGGGCAGCAGTGTGTGTCTGGAGTGCAGCAGTTGTCCCACGGGGTTTCTGTGGGTGTTTTCCCTGTGTCAGGAGTTGCACCCGGACGAGATCGACACGGACTCTGCCTACATTCTGTTCTACGAGCAGCAGGGGGTGGACTATGCCCAGTTCCTGCCCAAGATCGATGGCAAGAAGATGGCAGACACGAGCAGCATGGACGAGGACTTCGAGTCCGACTACAAGAAGTACTGTGTGCTGCAGTGAGCCTGAGCTCCTGGGCTGGGCTGGGCTGGGCTGGGCTGGGGGAGAAGCCCTGGGATGTGCCCCTGGGGAGGCCCTGACTGAGCCAGAGAGCAGCTTGTGGTTGTCATTGTCCCCTGTGAGCTGAAAGCACAAAAAGAGCCCCTGGTTAAGCAGTTAATATCCAGTAGTATTGTTTTGTTCTGTTTTCTCACTACATGCTCGAAAACGTTTCTGATGTTGGACATCTGAGACTGCCACTGGCCTTTAAATCCAATGGTTTGAGAAGAGCCAACTAGGACCAAATAAGAGCTAAATTAAACATCCAAATAAGAGCTAAACAGAGTAGTGTAGAGTTTACCAACTGTTCTAACACCCCCCGAGGCTCTGGTTAGGTTTAAGGTAACGGGGAAAAACAATTTCTAGTGTTGTCTTTGGACAACATGATATTGCTACCTCCTTTTTCCTGCAGTTTTATTGCATTTTATTGGCAAAACAGGGAAGGCAAGAGAAGGAAAAGTGCACAAATGGAAACAAATTATTGCCATGGGGAAGAGAAGTTTCCAGTTTTGCCACCACTAATGTGTGTCAGTTGCTTTCTTTCTGTATGTTGGGAGCACAACCAAATCATCATTTGAGAGGAGATTAATTTCTACACTTGAATGGTTTTATTATACTTGTGTTTTCTCCACGTGTTGGCTGTGCAGATCAACATGTTTCAGGAATGGCTTTTCTGCCTGAAGAGTGCTGGCTCAAACTTTTTTGAGCTGCCTCAAGAAGAAACTTCAGGTTGGAGAGAGTAGTTGTGATTACACTCACGGTGTCTTAAAATGTGCACATTGCACAGAACGTTCCCAGCTTTTGGAAGGAGAGATGCTTGAGCTTATGTTTCATGACTGGTGTTGCTTTTGAAATTTGCACTTTTGAAAATGCATCAGATTCAATTGAAAGCCACGTTTGTTTGGTTTTGTTGTTGTTGTTGTAAGGGCTCTGGAGTGAATGGCTGTGAGTATCCACTGTGTATTTCCAAGGAAGAAGCTGTGGCTGTCAGGTAGCTGTCGTAGCATTCATGGATGGAGGTGTTTTTTTTATTGGTTTCCTAACTCAGTTTCTTGTTTTCAAAATTTGATTGCCTTTTCAAATTATCTTCTTTTTGTTTGTTTGTTACACCAGGTTATGCAAATACTTGCAATTAAACCAGACTTGCTTTCCATGCCCTTGCAACATGCTCTGTAATTCAAGGGGCTTCTTGCATGAAGGGAAGTGTGACTGAGTCTTAGCAGAGACTGGAAAAAAAGAGAATTGTTTTTTTTTGAGCAGGCATTTCTTTAAACATTTTCAGTGTTAAATTGTTTGCATATCTGAATGAAGATAAAATTTTCACTCTTTTGGCCTTTTGTTCTTCAGCTGAGCTTAAGCAGCTTATTAATTTTGTCATGCATCATCTTCCCAGTTCTCTAGATTTTTGTACCTTCGCTAACAAAACTGTTACTCACATGGTTTTCTGCCATTAATGTTTGGATTCATTTTGGGGTGTTTGACAAGAATGGCAAACCTTGGGCAGTTTCTCATTTCCAGGAGGATCTGGGGTTTATTATCCATGGAGGAAATGCTGTGGCTGTCTGCCCAGGCAGAGCCCTGCCAGCCCGTGCAGGCTGTGCCTCGTTGGGGACAGCAGATCTGTTCCAAAATGAGTCTTGTCTTACCTGTCAGGTGTTGCTCCTTATCCTCTATGGTCTTTTATCTTTAAAGTGGTCTGAACATTGAGCCTAAAGAGAAGCAGACATGACTAGTGAATTTCTAGGTTAGAAGCTTTTTCAACACCCACTTGTCTACTCCTCCCTCCGCAAACTCCATGAAAAGTGAAAGATTTTCAACTGATTTACTTTAAAATGTTTTATTTAAGCAGGTAGCACAATCTACTAATGTTATTTGATCTTCTGTGTTTGTTACATTGGTTGTAATTAATTTTTTAAATTAAATTAATTCAAGAATTAGTAGTAAATTTATTAAGTTAACTATTAACTACATTCACTTTGTAAATTATTGTATAAAACTTATTGACAATGCACTGACTTTAGAAAGATGTTAATGTACATAAATGCCTTGTAAATAAAATAGTGTTGATGTACTGGAATATGAGCTGTATTAAAACAAAGGTATTGGTAATTGTATATGGAGTGAACCTGTTTATCTGTAACTATATTATTCAAACAAATTAAATACTGTGGATGCAGATGAAGTGTCACTTCTTGTCAGATAATTTTTAATAACTGTTTTCCTGCTTTGAAGTGTCTGTACTGCTTCTATGAAGCTTAAATGCCTTTGTCAATCCAAAAGCCGAAGCACGGGCGGGCATCCAGCAATTCTTTACAACTTCTTCATTGTTTACAAAAGGTAAGTTGGGTATTTTGTTGATGATAATAACACTTATTACTTGAAAACAATCCATGTCAGCAGTGAAGTGATCCCTCAGGTACAGGAAGGCTTTGCTGTGTCTTGGCACAGGATGTGCAGGTACCTGACGTGCAGTCCTGGTGCCTGAGGTGTCCCTGGGCAGGCAGGGGTGGGAAAGCCCTCCCAGCCCTGCTTTTCCCCAAGCAGGAAGTGGCTGTGGTTGAGCTGGCAACCAGAGCAAAGTCTGCACAGGGCTGATGTCAGGAGCACGCATCACCTGCCTTCTTTAGCTGGAAATGAACCATTGTTCTTTTTTTACAGCCCCTGAAGATGCTCAGTGGGTATTTAGCCAAGGATTAGCACGCAGCAGCATCCCCAGAGTGTGTCTGCAAGTGAAGCCATCTGTGGCTGGGATGGGAGGTGGTGGCACTTTCCTGGTGATAACTCTCAGAGCACTGGTCATTCTTGGTCATTCTTACTGGGTGTGGTCACCCCACGGCCTCACTGGAGTCACTTGGGCATTTTCAAGGTTGAAAATTTCATTTCAGTATAAAGAAGTTCCTGTGATGAATTTCCCTCTGTTACTTTGAAGTATTGAAAGGGGAATTTAAAAGGATGAAACACTCTAATTACTAAGGATGTTGACACATGCTGCTGTCAGTGGTAAAGTTTTATTGATTTAGTGCAGCAGGGGACATTGAAGAGATGAAGGTGTCACATCCCTGCCCAAGCTGCAGCCATGTGCTGCTGCTGAATGCCTCTGATTCCCAGGCCAGAACTGTGCAGGTCTTGCAGGAGGGCTCAGAAGTGAGCAGAGCCCCTTTTGTGAGGTGGGAGCAGTGGGGAATGGGCTCTGCTGGCGTTTCCCTGCTCCCTGGGTGTGTGTGGGGAGTGCTGGCAGCCCCTGTCCTGTTTTTGGGCTGGGTCAGCCAGACTTCTGCATACTTGGGGGGGCTTTTGGAGCTTCTGCTGGGAGGGAGGGGAAGGGACAGCAGGGACAGCACCTCCTGTGCCAAACCCTCTGATTCCCCCCAGAGAGAGGGGAGGGATGGATGCACCAACCTGCAGGGCCCTGCTGACCACAGGAGTGACCACAGGAGTGACCACAGGAGTGACCACTGCCCCTTCCCCTCCCTGAATCCCAAACCCAAAGGCGTTTTCCATCCTGATCCAAGCGTTGGATCCCTTCTGGAGCTGCTGTTCCAGCCCTGCTCCCTGGCCTCCCCTGGGCTGCCACAGGAGGCTCTATCCCTGCTTTTCCCTGTGTCTAAACATCAAAATATCCCAGATTTATCTGTGATCATGTCCTGAGAACGTGCTGGGCTCCAGGCACAGCCTCTGGCCCAGGGCCCGGAGCATCCACGTAGATATTAATTATATTAATTATGCCTTTTGTTACCCTTTTTCCCTCAGGTCCTGTAAATTGAAGCCAGAAGTGAGTAAAATGCAGTCATCCATGCTTGCTGATTTATCGTTTCAGGAAAATAAAAACCTGTCAGGAGCTGGGGAGATTGTGCCTTTTGTTTGGGACAAGGCTCTGGCTTCCTCGATCGTGTGTAAAAGATTTCCTGTTTGTGAAAATGAAAAGCAATGTTTGATAAGGTCCCTTCAGCAAAATGAGTCACAAAGGAGAAAATAGATTAAGGATGCTTCTAGATTTGATAGAAATTAAATTTCACTGGGAGTTGTGAGCATAGAAAACCAATGAGAAAATCTTGTGGCAAAATCCAGGTTTTATTTATATTTAGGGTCGTGTCAGACACACCTGAAGACTGAACCTTACCCAACTTTTATCAGTGCATTTAAAACTTGTGATGAGAGCACAGAGATGTCCCCAGGTGGGTCACAAGCTGCTTTGGGTGGTCAGAGTTCATGCACTTCCCTGCCCTGCAAAAAAAATAAACAGCAGCAGATGCTTCAGAGCCTTTGTTCAGTGTGTTTGTGAGAGCTGGCCATGCAGCACTCTCTGTACTCTGATATTTTTTTTATCTCAGTGCTGCTGAATTTTTTTTCACCATTAGGTTTTTATTGGGTGCAAAGTCCAAATGAAGTGGCTGAGAGAGCTGTGGTGTGTGATGACTTCTTTTGGGTTTTGGAAATAGTGTCAGTGAACAGCTGTGAACATTCTCAGTGTTGTTTCTCAGCTCTGTGTGAGGTTAAAATCCTCTGCTTTTCCCTGACCTGAACAGGGGAAGCACAGGCAGCTCCTGGGGCCCTTACCAAGGTATTATTTTGCATAGAGCTATTAAATCCCAAGTATTTTCTGACTCTTCTCCAGCTTCTTATTCCCTCAAAGTACCTTGCAAATTACATTGTCTTTACACCGTGAATTTGAGAGGTTTTGGTCAAACTGAGGTTGAAGAAAGGAACTAAACCAACAAATAGATGGTGGATTATATTCTGTGTTTGGAGTCAATGAAAAGGTTTGAGGCAACAGGTTTGGCTCAGTTTTTACATCCCACAGAAGTTTGTCCAGGAATTGCTGCATCTCTGGGTAATCTGGTTTAAATTTTGCTGAAATGTGATATAGAAAGCAGAGTTTTAGATTAAATCTCCTGTGTGTTTAGCATGTAATGAAATTGTGCCTTCACCTAACGCAGCATTTTGTTGGGGAAAATATTAATGTGTCTTTATTTATAAACCTTGGTATCCCAAGGAGAAGCTGCAGGAAAGCTGGAGCGTGGGTGTTGGTTGGGAGCTGGAGAAAACAAAGGGAAGCTGCTGCTGCTGCTGGGCCAGAAAAGGATCCAACACCAGCTCAGGCAAATCAAAACCCTTCCAAACGGTGTTTGTGCTGTGATGTTTGGAGTAGGGAGACAATGCAAGGAACAGGGTGATTACAGAGCTCAGCCCGGACATTGTGAGGCAGATCCCTCCTCCAGGGCTCGGTGACACGGTGACAGCTGTCCCCTGCTGCCTGGGGAGGGCACAGCACATCAGGGGCTTGTCCAGAGCAGCTGGGGCTGCCCCTGGATCCTTGGAGGTGCCCAAAGCCGGGCTGGACAGGGCTTGGAGCAGCCTGGGATGGTGGGAGGTGTCCCTGCCATGGCAGGGGTGGCATGAGGATGTTTCATGTCCCTTCCAACACAAACCATCCTGGCATTCCAAGGGAGGGAGGAATGGCTCAGCACTGGGGCAGGATGGTCATACCCCAGTGTGATGCAGACTCAAATATTCAGGAATCCTTGGCAGGGGCAGAGCCATTAAATGAGGGCCGTGATGATGTCCCTCAGCTCAGCAGTGTCAGGACACAGCTGGGGCACAGCCCCAGCCCAAACCAGCCTGGGAGAACTGCAGAGATCAGGGCTGAGCTGGCTGCAGTCGGAGCTCCGGGCTCAGCAGTCCCTGCAGGGCTGAGCTGGCTGCAGTCGGAGCTCCGGGC